CACATGGCTTTTGTTTCTCAAATTGAACCTACAACCATTTCCGAAGCAATAAACGATGAACATTGGACCTTGGCTATGCAAGAGGAGCTAAACCAATTCAAACGGAATGACGTTTGGGAATTGGTGCCAAGGCCCGATGATCGTACGATTATTGGTACGAAATGGGTGTTCCGTAACAAACTTGATGAAAATGGAATAATCACTAGAAACAAAGCTAGGCTCGTAGCTAAAGGCTACAATCAAGAAGAAGGCATTGATTTTGAAGAAACTTATGCACCCGTAGCACGTTTAGAAGCTATTCGTTTACTTCTTGCTTTTGCCTCGTCTATGGATTTTAAACTTTATCAAATGGATGTTAAGAGTGCCTTCCTCAATGGTTTTATTCAAGAGGAGGTGTATGTTGACCAGCCCCCGGGGTTTGAAGACTTTGAGTTTCCCGACCATGTCTTCAAACTCTAGAAAGCGCTCTACGGTCTTAAACAAGCACCCCGTGCTTGGTACGAACGTTTGAGCAAATTTCTTTTGGATAGTGGTTTCCAAAGGGGAAAGGTTGACACCACACTTTTTATCAAGAGTAAAAACAATAACATCCTTTTGGTTCAAGTTTGTGTAGACGATATTATATTCGGTGCTACTAACGAATCCTTGTGCAAGGAATTCTCAACGTTAATGACAAGTGAATTCGAAATGTCAATGATGGGCGAGCTCACATTCTTTTTGGGACTCCAATTCAAGCAAATGAAAGATGGCACGTTCATTTGCCAAGCCAAATAGTGCAAGGAGCTCCTAAAACGGTTTGAAATGGACAACGCCAAAGCCATGGCGACCCCGATGAGCACGTCCGACCATCTTCACAAAGACGAGAAAGGTAAGGAAGTAGAAGTCAAAAAGTATCGAAGTATGATCGGATCCCTTCTCTATCTTACCGCTAGTAGGCCGGATATCATGTTTAGCGTTTGCCTTTGCGCAAGGTATCAATCGTGTCCGAAGGAATCGCACTTAACGGCGGTAAAGCGGATTCTGAAATACCTTGCCGGCACGGTTAACGTTGGACTGTGGTATCCAAAAGGCTCTTCTTGTCATCTCGTTGGCTATTCCGACTCGAACTTTGCCGGTTGCAAATTGGACCGTAAAAGTACGAGTGGGACTTGCCACTTACTTGGTAGCTCTCTAGTCTCATGGTTTAGTAAAAAACAAGTCAGTGTTGCGTTATCCACAACCGAAGCAGAATATGTAGCCGCCGGTAGTTGTTGTGCTCAAATCCTTTGGATGAAGCAACAACTCGTGGACTATGGCCTTAGTATCAATCACGTCCCTCTTCGTTGTGATAATACTAGCGCCAAAAGCTTGACGAAGAACCCCGTTCTTCACTCAAGGACGAAACACATTGACATTAGGCATCATTTCATTAGAGATCATGTTCTCAAAGGTGATGTCGAAATTGAGTTTGTTGAAACACACAACCATTTTCACAAAACCTTTTGAGAAAGAGTCGTTCTTCCGCATTCGAAGTGAACTTGGAATCCTTGACTCCACGATGATCTAAGTTGTGCATCTAAACTTATCAAACGTTTACTAACTTGAGCGTCGGAGAACTTTTTTTCTTTTTTGCAGGTACCCCGTTCATGAAATCAGGGGGAACCATGCAAACAGCGCTGTCCAGGAGACACAACAGCGCTGTTGAGAGAAACACCGTCAACCAGAAAGTTTTCCAACAGCGTTGTACAACAAACCAACAGCGCTGTCTCAGGAAGTTCCCTTTCCTCATACTTTCCAGAAAGTTTTTCAACATCGCTGTCCCTTTTTAAACATCGCTGTTCCCTTTTACCCTTGTTTTCCAGAAACTTTTTCAACAGCGCTGTCCCTTTTTGAACATAGCTGTTTTCCAAAACACCTTGTTTTCACACAAAACAAGAAAGTTTTCCAACAGCGCTGTCCGCCAATTCAACATCGCTGTTCAGTTTTACAAATTTTTTTTCCAAATCGTAAAACAGCGATGTACATAGATCCAACAGCGCTGTCCTAATGAGTACAATTTCCAGAAACATTTGGAACATCGCTGTAGGATTCTCAACATTGCTCTCCATTTAACTCCTCTTTTTTTTTAAAACTTGACGCAGAACAGCGCTGTACAAGGCACAACAGCGTTGTCCCAACAGCGATGTCGCCTGTAGAACATCGTTGTTCTAGTCAAATCTTTCAAAAAAAAAAAATATCCGTTGCACCTGCATTTATTGCTCCAACAGCCATATTTTTTGAAATTCTGGACGTTGGAGGTCTCCTTTTCTATAAATTGGAGCCTCTTCTCCTCAATTTTACACACACAAACACAAATTCTCTTCCTACTTCTTGCATATTTCATTCTCTTTACAATTTTTTTTTAAATTCCTTCATCATGGGCAAGGATAAGAATAGGGCAGGAGCTTCCGGCAAATCCAAAGCCAAATCCCGGGCACCGACAACCAACTCCGAGGAGCGCCTCTACTATGGCGACGGATCGTACCTCTGGTTCGATTCCGAGGAGGAGCGCACCCGCTTTCTCACTTTCTTCTCTAAACGGGTTGTGGCTCCCCCACGGATCATCCCGGAGCGCTACCCGGAGCTGCAGGGCTACGACGACCTTGACGCGCAGCTTCATCAAGCCGGCCTTTGGCCGTTCGTCTCCCGGGCTCGAAAGGAGATCAACCCGGCGCTGATCCGGGCCTTCTACTCGAACCTCCGGCGTGAGGACGACGTGCTCTACTCCCTTGTCAAGAGCACGCCGATTGAGCTCTCCGTTGAGCAGCTTGGGCGCATCGCCGGCCTCCCCTTCCAAGGCGAAGACGTCTCTCACAATGGCGGAGAGGACTGGGTGCCCAACAACGAGGGTAATATCCTCAACGAGCTTGGCATCACCGAGCTCATCCGCCATGCCTCGGGCCGCCCCACCACCCACTCCACTAACCCCGAAGGCCATCTCGTTCTCTACATCGTGTCCCGGATCATCAAACCCCAGAAGCACGACCACACCATCATGTCCGGTGAGGACCTCAAGCTCATCCATGCGATCATGCACTCGGCCCCAATCAATTGGGCAAAGTTTGTCATGATCAACATGACGATTTCCGCGTCCACCGACCACGACCACCTCCTCCCGTACCCATTCGTGGTGATGGACATCCTTGAACGGTTCAAGGTAACCACCACCGTTGGCCCGCTCACGAAGGCCACGAAGCTTTGGACGATCAGCGCCCAAACCTTCACAAAGCGGTCAAACAACGCCGTGCCTGCCACTGCTGCGCCACGCCACACTGCCACCACCGCTGGCCCAGCCGAACCCCAGGCCCGGGCCAACCTCGCCTCCATCGCCGACTCCCTAAACCGCCTTCACTTCAAAGTTGACGGGATGGATGGCTACCTTGAGAGGCTTGACGAGGCTGTTCAACGCCAAGGGCACGCTATGAACGCGTACTTCCAACGCGTCAACTACGTCCCCCCACCGTACCAAGGCACATTCCTTGGGCAAGTGTACGATGACGAGGACGAAGAAGATGGCTCCTACGCCCCGTCAAGCTCTCCGGACGAGGATGAATTCGATGACGCCGTTGACGGTGATGAGATGGACGTTGACGACGACGAGGAGGAAACCGAAGACGAAGACTAGGACTCCCCTAGATTTTCTATCTCTTTTCTTTCAATTATCATGTTTTTTACTGCTTCCGTTGTACTCCGCCTTTTCCTTTTAATAAATAAAATTATTTTTTATCTTTTTGTTAATGTCAAAAGGGGGAAGAAAAGGGTTATGCATATACTAAGGGGGAACGCCTCTAAAACGAGACCGTTTGCTTTTAATCCGACTAATTTTTCTTAAGCACAAATTAAGGGGGAACTCTTTCACAACTTTATGAAAATCAAATATCCCTTAGTATGCATATCCCCGTCTTGTTTGCCATTATCAAAAAGGGGGAAATTGTTGGAACACGGGTTTACGCCTACGTCGTACTAAACTGTGTTCGTTCTATGACAGGTTTTGATAATGCCAAACTGCCGTGACACAATAAGGCTAAAGTGAGCAAAACTAAGGCGAAGGAACATGGCATGATGATTTGTGAACCAAGAACCTAGAATCAAGAGCGAAGAATTAGATTTGTATTGAGTCGGTCTTAATGTGATCAAGACCGGCACAAACTTTCAAAACTTGGCTCTCTAGGCTCATTTCATCAAAACTTTTTTTTACAAACTCAAAAATGTTTTGCATAAGTTTTAAACTACCTAAAAACACTTGGAGTTCGCCCAAACCAAAAACCAAGCCATCCGGTGTTCGGTCTTCGGAAACCGGCGTTCGGCTATCGGTTATCGGTGTTGGTTTTTGGCGTCCAAACCAACCAAGTGGTTTTTAACTTTTAATGATTGGTTTTTACTTCTGAGCATGTTTAAATAGTTCTCCAACAAAAACGCTTCAAAAACCACCTTTCATTTTTGGTCGTTTAGTGAAAACCATGCGAAACGGCGTAAACTTGGCTAGCCGTCGTTTTCAACTAAATGACGTGGTTTTCAAAATGTTTTACTTGATTTCTTAGCAAAATGCATTAAACAAACATTTTTAATACTTGGTTTTTATTTTGGAGAACTTATATTTTTGACATCGGCTTACGGCTGACTAAACCAACCATGGGTCTGGCTAAACCAGCCCAACAGCGATGTTGGTGTAACCAACAGCGCTGTCTGGCTTGGGTAGCTGAAAACCATGGTTTGGCGTTAAGTCTTCCAACAGCGATGTTGGACTTTAGACATCGCTGTTGAGCCAAGGTTGGATTTCCAGAAACTTCTGGAACAGCGATGTAGGCTTCCCTACAGCGCTATCCAACCTAAGCCAAAAATATAGTGCATTGGCAGAAAGTTTTTGGACAGCGATGTTGACCCAGCAACAGCGCTGTCAGGCAAAACTTCCATCTTCAAAGGTCAGACCTAAACAGCGATGTTCAAGTAATGAACATCGATGTAGGGACCTGACCGTTGGAATGAATTTAAGGCTAAAACTTTCCTTGTTTGGAAGTCAACAGCCAAAACAACGATGTAGGGGTATTGGACATCGCTGTTGGCATGACCGTTGCTTCCCAATTTTCAAAAATCCAAGCCTAGAACAGCGATGTCCAAGCCTATGACAGCGCTGTCTGGGTGAATTTCAGCAGATCCAAATTTAATCAAATCCCACAAATTGTGCCAATCACCCCTTAAATGTTTTGGTCTGTTGGAACCTATTTTTCCACTATAAAATGGGGTGTTTGGGTCTGTTTTACACATCACATTACTTCACAACTTCTACTCTTTCATTGCAAATCATTCATCACTTTTTCATAGCTTTTTGAGAGCCATTTTTGTGACCCTATGATTTAAACATAGGGTCAGGTTTTTATGCTCAGCAAGAGGCCAACAGACAACACAAATGAATACGCGGGTATGATAAAAATGAATATGTTGCACCCTACATGCCAAAAATACAATGTTGCTTTTCTTTTTGTTTAGTTTTTTAAATAAAAGAAGTCAAATATAGTTCACCTTATACAGATGTCCCTCAAATGGGACCAACCAGTTTTGTCATATCATTTCAAATATGTGTGTGTGTGTGTGTGCATGTGAGAAAGGGTGAATTATAAAAGGTAAAAGTTAATAGTGCTCAAATTAGATAAGCGAACATTGTTTTCGGATATGAATAAAAGAAATAGCAAACGTAATAAGGGTCAGAGGGAGTATAATTGTTTTAAAAGGGATCCAAGACATTAGTTAGACTAGAATGCAAAGACTGAGCAATAAAGAGAGAATGGTTAGAGGAAAAAAAGAGTAGATGCATGATACTTGTCATGTTATACCTCAAATGTTTTCATCAATTGGTAGTGGAGAAAATGAAGTTGTGAGGATGAGTGTTGGTGACCCGATCTGCCCAGCTTTTACCAATGGAGAAAATGCAGTGAACCCTACGAAGCAATTATATTGCTTCAATTTTATTTTCTTAGATATCGTTTGTCCTTTGCAACATAAAATACGGTTCCACCTCACTGTAAATTCATCACTAGCATAAAATGTGTGGTTTCTCGCAAAGCTAAACATTACTAGCGCCACTTCTGTGAGCCCGTGACATGATATAGTAGGATTAGTAGCACACTAGTATCGTCACTTTACGTAGTTAAGAGAACACTATCAATATGTTTATGTGAACCTGATCATGGTTCAAATCTTTTGCTAGAGCTGTCCATCTTGACATTAACCCCCTAGTATCATCTATTGTAAGTAGAGTACAAGGACAAAACAAAGTAATCATATGACAACACATTCTTGTGAAATTTTCCTAGAGGACGTGACTTATGTGTAGATATACATGATGCAGTGTAGATACTAGATATACATAATACAGATGAGTCTTGTTTGAACTTTCAACAATTAACAAAAGTTCGGTTGACATATAAAAATATCACTTACCCTCCTATCATTTTTGGCATGAGATTGACGAAGAAACGTTGACAAAATAAAATTGCAGTAGCAATGGTCACCTGAGGCCTGCAAGTCAAGACATCAACCACCACAATTACACTCACAAGACTCATCAAGCTTTGTGCATGAAAATTATATCCCAAAAAATAGTGTGCATGTTTGGCAAGTAAATTACTCCCTCTGATCCTACTTAAAAGGAATTTTGGCCAAGTTCCTCATTATTGAGAAATTATGTCAAGTAAAAGTTGAGAAAAAATGGTCCCTGAACA